ACCAAGTAGAGAGGGCAGCTGCTTAGTATTTACTTAAATCAAAACACTGAAGGTAGATTAAGTTCTGTTCTAGTCTTATATGCTAGGTGGTGAAGATAGGAGAAATACAGAAATAACAATAAGAATGGTAATAACTGCCAACACTTACTAAACATGGAATATTGAATGTGTCCCAGCCATTATGCTGGGTTTGTTTGTCTGTCACTCAAACAGGTCTCAGACTTGCTCTTTAACCAAGAATGTCTTGAATCTCTAATCTGCCTGCCTTTGCCTTCCAAGAGCTAGAATTACAGGTATAAGTTACCAGGCCTAGAGTTTTGCAGTGCTTGGGAGAGAACCTAGGGTTTCATGAATGTTAGTCAAGGATGATATAAGCTGAGCCCCATCCCTCAACCCTGACTGATATTTCTTTATTCAATCCAAAGAATTTAGGGATCCTGTTGCCTTTTTTTCCTCTTCAGTGTCTAGAAGCAAGGTAGTGTTATTTTGTACTCTAATCGGCCTCAAATTTTGTACATAGTTCTGTTCCCGGGCTAACCTCAAATTCAGTGCAGCCCTCTCCAGTTTCCCAAGTGCTTAGATTGCAGGTCTGCACTACCAAACCAACCCACATATCTTTGAGGGGTGGAGGGAGGTACACATACCCATGAAGTTGATAATGAGTGCATCTCTTAATTCTTCTCCACATTTTTTTTTCCGAGACAGAGCTTTCATTGAATCTAGCACAGGATCATTCTGGAACTTTCAGATTCAGCCCGTCTGGCTGGCCAGTGACTTCCTGAGAGCCTCCAGTTTGTACCTGCCCAGGACTAACATTACAGTCACATACTACCACGCTTGCCTTTTCCTTTTAAGGGGATCAAATTCAGATCTCCATGTTTGTAAGTGAGGAGGCACTTTACTGACTGAACTGTCTTCCCCAGGCCCCAAATATCTTTTTAAACAAACAAAAAACCAGGGTCTCATATAGCCCAGTCTGGCCTTGAGTTTGCAGTGGGTCCTCTTGCCTTAGTGTTGTATTTCAGATGCCCAGCTTCTATGGCATTCCTAATGCAAAGTTGAAAAACAGTGAGTTTCTAAAAACACACTAAGTGATTGTAACTTATTGCACACTTATACCTCCTTTGTAGGATTGTATGAGGATAAACAAATCCAGTGCCCAGAACAGTGTCTGGCGTGCATTAAATGTTCAGTAAATACTAGATGCTGTTGAGGTTTCTGAAGCACCATGTTTGGTTTTTGAATACACCATGTATTCCCTGGTAGGGCCATCTCATTCATGATAGAAAAACACAGTGTCATTCTAGCAAAGTCAGATATTCTAGGTAAGGAAAAAAAAAACAATAATAAAGGGATTGGTTTTAGTTTTGCTTCTGTGTAAGGTGTCTGGAGGTAAACTGATAGGAAAAAAAAACCCTAGATCTAGAGATGAAAATCTCGTTTTGGGGGAAAGCTCTTGAGCTGTCTTGAAAAGATGGGTATAGCACACACACAGTGACAAGTGATGAGAAGCACCTGACATTCTTCATTACTGTTAAGAATGAAAGTAGTAGAGCCAGCTTAAGAGGTAGCTTGGCAGTTTATTATAAAACTACACGTCTTATCATACAATCCAGTAATTATGCACCTTGGCATTTCCATAAAGGAGTTGAGAATTATGTCCACATGAAAACTGCATTGATGTTTATAGAAGCTTTATTCATAATTGCCCAAACTATATGGATCCAAGATGTCCTTCATTAAGTGAACAAATAAATAAACCAAGGCACACTCACATGTGGAATGGGTTTTAGCAGTGAAAAGAAACAAGCTAACAAGCCATACAAAGACTTGGAGGAAATCTAAATTATGAAATGAAAGAGCCAGTCTAAAAGCCGACATGCTATATGCTTCCAATTATTTGGCGTTCTGGAGAAGGAGGAACTGTGGAGGCAGAAAAGAGATTATTGGGTTAGGTATGTGATACATGCCTTTAATCTCAATACTTGAGGAGACCGTGGCAGGCAGATCTCTGAATTAGAGGTCAACTTAGTCTACAATAGTGGGTTCTAGGACAGCCAGTGCTACTCAGTGAGACGCTGCCCCGCTCCCCATCTGCCCCAGACAAAGAAATCATTAGTTACCATTAAGTAGGTGAGTGGGAAGGGTGAGTAGACAACACAGGAGTTTTTGGGCAATCAAACGTCCATGTATTACTCACACAGAGAATACATGAACTGTTTTTTCAAATTCACAAGTTCTCTAACACTAGATAAAAACTCTAACTAAGCTGTAGACATTGAGTAATGATCCTTTATCTGGGTAGGTCCATTAGTGGAGAAAAGAGTACATGTGTGAGACAGGATATTTAGCAAGTTTCTGTACCTTCTACTCAGTTTTTCTGTGAACCTAAAATAGCTCCAAAATCTTAACAAAAAAGGGGAAAGTTTCAGAAGTGAAATTGTAGTTACTGTTATATAACAATCTAGCCCCCCCCACCCCAACTTGGTGACTCAAAACAGTTGTCCTTTAATTTGCTTAAAGCTCTGAGTGTTGGTGATTTGGGCCAAGCTTAGTAGTTCTTTACTTGATCTCATCTGGAGTCATTCCTATGACCATAATTGTCTAGTGCAGTGGTTCTCAATCTGGGGAGGGGGGTGTCTCAGTCCCTTTAGGGGTGAATGACCCTTTCATGTGGCTCACCTAAGACCACTGGGAAACACAGATATTTACATTATAATTCATAACAGTAGTAAAATTAGTTATGTATCAACAAAAATAATTTTATGGTCACCACACCATGGGGAACTGTATTAAGGGGTGGCAGCATTAGGAAGGCTGAGAACCATGGCTCTTATGGTAGCCCTCCAGTTGGATAATCTTAGGATGGCTTCTCTTGCACATCTGATTTTTTGGCCTTCAAAGTAGTAGTGGTAGTGCATGATCCTCTGACTATTGGCTAGACTTCTTCACACGGCAGTAGAAGAGTTCTAACAGCAATAGAAGCTAAGGTGGCTCTCCAGCCCTTCATGGTAGTCTATTTCACTGTGTTCTGTTACCCAAAAGAAGTTAGAAGGCCATTCTAGATGCGACGGGAAGAGAAATATACTTTACCCTTGATGGAAGGACTGCAACAATTTTGTGGGCTTGTTTTGCAAAACTTTGACATCTGATAGATGTCACAGTCAGTATAGGGTATGTTGCTTGGACCCTTTGGTCTTTCGTTTTGCCTAATTAGTATTTCCTCCAAATTTAGTTATTCAAAGCTCCTTGGTTGTCCTTCTTATCCTTAAAACACACACACACACACACACACACACACACACACACAGAGCTTCTTCTTTTTTTTTAGATTTATTTATTTATTTATTTATTTATTTATTTATTTTATTATGAGTACACTGTAGCTGTCTTCAGACATACCAGAAGAGGGCATCCAATATCATTAGGGATGGTTGTGAGCCACCATGTGGTTGCTGGGATTTGAACTCAGAATCTCTGGAAGAGCAGTCAGTGCTCTTAACCACTGAGCCATCTCTCCAGCCCAGAGTTTCTCTTAGAAAGAACAAAAATAAATTAAAATGAAAGCAATTTTTTCAATAATTAATTGAGTTTTGAAAATTCTGAAGGATCAAACCATTTTGATAAAGAAAATATAAGGGGCTGGAGAGAGGCCCCAGTGGTTAAGAACACTGACCGCTCTTCAAGAGGACCTGAGTTCGATTCCAGTCTCACAACTCTAGTCTGTACCTTCATTCTGAAGAGATCCACTGTCCTTTTCTAGCCTCTGTGGGCATCAGGCAAACGTGTGGTTCACATACAAAACACTCATACATATAAAATAAGTAAACAATAATTTTGAAAAAAATTTTTGAAAGCTAGGCATGGTAGCGCATGCTTATAATCCTAGTGATTGGGAAGTCAAGGCAGTAAGATTATCACAAGTTTGAGGTCAGTCTCGGCTGCAGAGTAAATTCCAGACCAGGCTAGACCATCTAGGCTATACAAACAAATAAGCAGAGGGCTAGGGAGACAGCTCAGTGGTTAACAGTATGTACTATTTTGCTATCACTTCAGCTCCAGGGGATACAACACTGTTTTCTAGCCTCAGGAGCACTACAGTCATGCACTCAAAAGCACATTTAAGATACTGATAAAATATTTTAAAGCACAGTTTCAGTTCTTTTTAATATCCTTAGGAACTTGAGCTTGATTAACAGGAATAATGAAGACCTACTCAGAATTCTGACTGTAATAGACAAAGATTTTATATTAATTATGACATCACCTATTAGTGTTTAATTAAATTCCTAGTGTTTTAATGTGAAGTATTCAAATTTGTGTCTGTAGTATTAATTTTCTAGGAAAACTATTTGATATTTTGTTCAGGTAGATATCTGTGACCATCTTTTAGAATTATCTAAAATACTGAATGAGTTGATTCTGAATTGGTTGTTTTTACTTCTGTCTTACTTACTAGTATACAGCAGACTAAAAATGCATTTTTCTCTGAGCTGTGTTCGTTTATAACCTTGTGGTTGCTATTTTATTCTGCTGTGTATTCTGAAAGAGGTCTTAGCCTTTGTTCATTAATCAGAGGAAGCAGGTGTGGAACATGCCTTGCCCTTAAGTGGAACATCTAAAATTAGTCCTGCTACAATCGTGGTTGGGTACAAAGTTTCAGCAGTGTGTTGCATGTTAAACAGACACTGCAAAGTTGGAAGAAACTCCCAAGCAATAAGTAAGTGGTCTATGTTATGTCTATGTCCATATATTTATTTAAACATATAATTAGCAAACCTTTTTATTAAAGATGAACAAATCACAACTGTTAGTTCATATGCTCTGTATAAAAACAGCTTTGCTTATAAACTATGCTGTTTAATTATCAATTTCAGAAGAAAAATACCTAGGAAACTTGAGATGATAGTAGTTTTTCTGCATATTTGTCTGTTTTAATTTGTAAAGGAATATAATCTGTTTATTCTATATGGATGACTCCTTTTTCTCTTTTTCTTCAGAGTTCATATAAACCTAGTCAGTAAAATGGCATCCTGGTTCTATGAGTGTCTCTGTGAAGCTGAGCTTGCACAGTATTATCCTCATTTTACTGCGCTTGGCCTTCAAAAAATAGATGAATTAGCCAAGGTTACAATGAAGGACTACTCCAGATTGGGAGTCCATGATATGAATGACCGAAAACGTCTTTTCCAACTTATCAAAATCATTAAGATTATGCAGGAGGAAGATAAAGCCCTCAGTAGCCCAGAGCATCCTCTTCAGGCAAGCAGCCTGTACTCCAAGCCTTGGGAGTTCAGATCTGGGCCCCGAAGACAACTACGTTTTGATTCTCCTTCTGACAGCAAAGACAAAATGGCCAGGAATGAAATGGGTAGTGTATCAGACTTGTCTGTGGATGAGCAGGGGTCCACTTACCTGAAAGTGCTGGAGCACATGCCACCAGATGAGTCCCAGTACCAGACAAAGACAAGAGCCCCCGATGCCTCTGCCGCTGATGCGTATATGCAAACAGAGGCCAGCACTCCGCTCTTTTCATCAGATCACTTTTCTCCAAAACTGGGAAACTGCGATATTCCCATCATTCAAAGAGTCTCTCATGTTTCAGGATATAACTATGGAATCCCTCATTCTTGTGTCAGGTAATACTTTATTTTTATATTTTTAGGAGAAGTAGGAGGAGATAGCCTAAGGCAAAGACAGATTTTTTTCTTCATGACCAGAGGAGTGCAAACCCTCTAAATTTTTAGTAAATGACTATAACATATGAGTGATAATTAACAAATTTTGCCTTAATAATCGCAATAAGTGGATAGAAGCAAATTTATGAGGAACTGGAGTTTGTGGATGGCAAAAAGTTGATGTACATTGTTCATGTATATCAAATAAACAGCTGCTACTTACCAGGGTCTGCTGTAGTCCTCTTGCAGACCTGTTACTGTTACTTCCTAGAGTGTAACAGGATAGCTTAGTGTCCTCAAGAAAGCAGAGTAGTTAACCTGCCTTTTACACTGGAAAAAGAGTCACATCATTCACAGGATTTTTTTTTTAAGGCCTTCAAATTCATACCAGCCAGATGATCTAGAGTGTACTTAAGGCCAGAGAGCAGGAAGTTAAATTGAGTAGTTCTTTGAATAGTTAGGTCATCTGCATACATTGAAACAGGATCCTGATTCTGGCTGCAGGTTTTTGTTTTTATTTTAATCCAGCCTGAAAAAAAAACATTATTTTTTGGTGAGTACAAAGAGTAAGACCTTTTGATGGCAATTAGAGGTTGTGAGTCAGAATAACAGTCAGCTGTTTTCACCTAGTGCTTCAAGACAGAATTTTAAATAAGATCCCCAAGAGATGAAATACTGAATAATACCAATATTAGAAATGATATAATAGAAAATATGTTAAAATATATTACTTGTTATATTTCTATTAAAGAAACACACACATATTTGTTTGGTTGGGTTTTTTTGGTTTTGTTTTTGTTTTTCGAGACAGAGTTTCTCTGAATAGCTTTGGCTGTCCTGGAACTCACTTTGTAGATGAGACTGGCTTTGAACTCACAGAGATCTGACTGCCTCTGTCTCCTGAGTACTGGGATTTGGTGAAAGTACCAGTAATAATTTGAAATACTTGTTCTAGCAGAGCACAGAGGATTTAGCACTATTTTTCTTCTTTTAATTGTAAATTGTAAATATGAAAGGTAAAAGAGCAGACTTTCTCTTTTACTATTTCAGTCTTTTATTGAACAACACATAAAACATAAATTACAATTATTTATAAAAATACTTTTCAGTGCTTAACATATCATGACTTAGAATGCATATTTTAATTTAAATATTGTGGTTACGTTTACTCTACAAATATTAAGTAATAGCTATGATGTCTGGCTCTAGGTATGAAAATAATTAAGATATCTGGAGGCTCTTAGCTGTTAGGAGCAAGGTAAGAGATAACAGACAACACTCAGACAAGAGGCAGATGAGCTCAAGCCACATAGAAACACCCTATCTCAAAAACAAACAAACCAAAAAGTACTCACTAGGAAAAGAGCACATTTCTTCTTTACCTTTTGAATTTAAAAATTCAAACCACAGACCTTTTGTCTGTAAGAGTCATCCTGAACCCCTGCACAACTCTAAAACTGACTAGCTGGGCATAGTAGCACAGGAGTAATCCTAGCACTGCGTATGCTCAAGACACAATGGAAGACCTCGTCTCAGAGCCTCACAAATAAAAATAAAAAGGACTAAGCATTTTCTGTTCTCTTTGAATAGCTTCCTACGGTTAGGCTATTAATACTAAACATCTAAAGATTTTGACCCAAAACCCTTGTTTAAATGAGAACAAAACATAAAAAAGTAGATTTTATAAAGGAACAGATAATAATATGAAATCAAAATGTAGACGAGATTCCAAAATAATCAGTTAAATACTCTCTTTTTTCTTGTGAAAAAAAATTAAGTGTATATGCAAAAGAAGAGAACAGCAAATCCCTACGGACTTACCATCCAGTCCCGTGCCTCAGGTGATGCATTAGTCTCATATTCTAATTGAAACAAGAAATGTGCTTTGAGATGTCTTAAAATCATGCACTGTGGATATTGGAAATTTTGTTTGTTTGTTGTAAAAACTAATTTAGTTCCTGGCAAAAAAAAATAATTTTCCAGCCACTTGGAAGGCTCAGAAAATCAGAATTTATCTATATCACTATATAATTTTGTATTAAAGTTTTTGTAAATTTTGTAAATCTATTATTTTTAAGGGACTGTAAAATAAATTTTAAAGTGTAAAGGAAGGAACATTTATTGCTAATTTATACTTTTACACAGACCAAACTTATTAATCCTGATAAAAATAACCTGCATTCAAAAATCTTATTTTCAGAGTGAAAAAGGATCTTTAAAAAAAAAAACAACCTCGTTTTAGAGAAGTTCTATGTAAGTGGTTTGTTCTTTGATATGCCACACAAGACTCAGCAAATAAACCTTGTGGAAGATGCTGGATGTGGAATAACTGAGCCAGTGAAAGTGTATCACATAGGAGATAGAGCAAGTAGTGGACAGGATCAGTCACAGGACTGTTCTGAGAAGAGATACATGGTTATATTCTAGTGAATGAATAGATTCATATCAGGGTGAGGAGAAAAACAAGTAAGTGGGGCTGAGGAGATAGCACAGTCAATGAAGTGCTTGCCATGCAAACAGAAGGACAAGTTCGATCCCCAACACACACGTAAGAAGCCAGTGTGATAATATGTGCTTGTAATCCCAGCACTGAGGAGGTAGACAGGTGGATCTCTGATGCTTGCCCTAGATTCCAGTGAAAAATTCTGTCTCAGAAAATAAGACAGTCCAATCCTGAGGAGAACCACACCTAATGTTGTCTCCTAGCCTCCGCACACATAGGCTCACATACAGAGACACGAGAAAAGAAAGAAAAGGTAACAGGACTCAGGGAGGGGCTAAGTGTATCTATGAGGTATAGGAGGTAAAGTACATTGGAACCTACCACCTAATTTGAAACACTTAGTTTCAATCCAATAGGATTAAAGAGAAAGAGATGTAAGGTCTGGGGATATCATTCAGTTGGTAGAGTGCTTACTTAGCATGCTCCAAACCTTGGATTTAATTCCCCAGCATCAGATAAACGGGGTCTGGTGGTGTATACCTGTGACCCCAGCCTGATTTACAAGAGACTCTGTCTCAAAACAGTCAAACCTTCTTCAAACAAGAATTTTGATTAATGATCAAGAAAAATGTTAAGTGTGCAAGAATTGGATTGAAAGGGAACAAAAGATACATGGATTTGGGCTTTGGAAAGGCCTTGCTAACTTAGTAGCAGAATATAGGTAGATTTTGATGACTAGCCAACTGGAGTTTAGGGGTCACAAAGAGCACTAGGAGCCACAAACACACACGTCTCAGAGCTAAAATAACAGATTTGGCCTCTAGCTGCCACCACTGTCTCCCTTCCTTCCTTCCTTCCTTCCTTCCTTCCTTCCTTCCTTCCTTCCTTCCTTCCTTCCTTCCTTCCCCCCTCCCT